TAATTATAATTTATAATATTTATTATATATGTAAATATATATGTGTGTGTGTGTGTGCTTATTTATTTTTGAGCCAATTTGAGCCGAACATGAGCTATTTGCGAACATAAAACAATAATTTCTAAAAAAACGCTTTGTATACAATTTAATTAATTATAATTTATAATATTTATTATATATGTAAATATGTGTGTGTGTGTTTATTTATTTTTGAGTCAATTTGAGCCGAACACGAGCTATTTGCGAACAACAAGTCAAATTGACAAATTTAAATACCCACACACACACACACAGATATATATATATAGATAATAATTTCTAAAAAAGCGCTATGTATACATATATGTATGTATGTATGTATTTATTTCAAGCTAAAATAAAGCGGGCATGAACAAATTTTTATTTATGTTCGACTCGTTAACTTAACGAATGAATTGAGCTTCTAAACGAGCCAAACATGAATTGTTTGCTAACAACGAACCGTTTTAAAAGCTCTAGCGGTTAATATGATCTTCACTCTCCCCATTTGTACGTGGTTGTGCCCGACATGATAGTGGAGATGCAGGACAACAGTACCTTTTTGACCCAGAGAACATAGCAAAAGGTCCATACAATCGACTCATTGAGAGTATTACATCAACGCTGTCATATTGAACCAATGCATCATTTTATTGTGCATTTCATTTGGCAATCTTCTTTATAAAAGCAAATACTTATAAGGTGATGAATATTTTGACAAAAGAAATATATTTTATTATTATTCTGTTCTTGGCAACCTCATTGTAAAGAAGAGTTGTCCAAACCATTTTGAATAGCTTCTCAACATTTTTCAATTATCATTGTTGGAGATGCTTCAAGCAATTTTACTTTCATTTATTTGTACTAATATCTTCTAAATGTTTAGTAAAGGCATCATTTTATAATTTTCACATAAAATTTATTTTAATTAAGCTAGAAAATATGTTTTATTAATTTATTTTTAAAGTTTTCATGTAAAAAAAATATATTTATCTCATTATTATTTTCTTTTTTCTCAAAGATAATTGTTTAAATCTCTCTCTCGATTGATTAGAATTTTAATATGTGGTAGCTAGGGGTTGCCCGTGTAAACTATTCCCACCATCGTTGATTAGCAACTATGACATTTAATATTTTTCTTAAGTGATGTGGTCATCCCTATCCAAAACTATGTAACCAATTGATCACTATAAACTTACCCTCTTATAGACGACGATGTGACACTTAATGAATATTATCAAATAATTTTGTATGGCTTATAAAAAGAGCAACTAAATATTAGGGTAGAGTTCGTAGGACATCTGGGTCACGTGTTGTGTCGCCTACTGTGACTTTTTGGTTGGTAATGTTTGTAAGATCCCTGGGGTCACAGGTTCGATCGCGACTATGTGTGAAATGAAGTTCTTAAGCACATGAGGCTAGTCGGGAGGCTCGTCTAATAGCCTCTGACCAATCTTTGAAAGAAAAAAATATTAGGGTATTGCTTATATTGGTCCTCATCAATTTCCTTGATGTAATGATAAATGTATTGTACCATTCTCCTAATATTAATAAATATGTTTCTCCTAATATTAATAAATATGTCAGGATGTTTGTTGTTGTCTATATATCATTGCAAACTCTAAGAAAGTAACAATTGTCATAAATAGTGCAAACTATGAAAATTGCATCTCTCATTAGTTTCAAGTCACCTTCTTCAATGACATTAATTCACTAATGATATGCCTTTTCAAATGAGAAAGTTATAACAAACCCAACTAACCTAAAAGATAAACCAATAAAGACACAACATTGGTGGATTGGTGGAGACCAAGGAAGTCCTACTTTTGGAGTTGAAAGAAGCTAAACTTAAGGGAGTGGAAACATGGTGAAACAAAGTTAAAGGGAGGCACTTAAAGTTAACTAAGGTTATCATATTCCAAGAAGCAAAGGCAACACAATTTTAAAATATCAAATGAGGAAATATAAGAAGATGATTGAATGGATATTAAAGATGGTCAGAATAATCCTTCTCTTAAAATTCACAATTTTACTGTGGTGGATAAAACAAAACTAAAAGGCTAATAAAACCATTATAGATGACCAAGATAGTTACACGCTTTGAAGAGAATAATACATAATTATAAGATAACCAGCGAAGAGATATAGGGAAATTGTGATGGCGATTAATGATACTTAAACCTTTCACCTTTGAAAAGTAAGGAAGTTAAAAACTATAGTGGATAAGCTAAATGACGCAAGCTCTTAGAGCAAACTTAGTAGTCAAGATTCCTCCAAAATGACAAAGTAAATTGAAAGCAATAAGAACAAAGGTCATAATATTTCTCGAGGAAAGGTCATAATATTTCTTGAGGACAATCAAAATGGTTCCTTTTATAGAGGTGGATATGGCACAATATTAACATAATGATTGAGGCAACTCAAAAAGACCTTTGGCGCTGACTAAATATAGAAAAGACTATCCTCTTTGAGATAAAGATGACTTAATTTGAAAAAAAAAAACAATTGTAGTTGAAGAAAAAAAAAAGGATGTAAATAGCATTGTTTAGAATGATATTTTTATTACTATTGAAGACAATATGAATGTCCTCACACAATAGATGATTAAAAGGCATTCAAATGACAATCAGGTCCCTACAATTCTCCTATAACTTAAAAGTTTTGAGTGAGCTCATCATGAGAATTAAGCTAAACACTTCTTTCTTAATATTCATAATGAATGAAGATTCCTATAGTTAGCAGACATAAAAAATGGAAGGCTATAATAGACCTAAGACAATGGAATGCACATTACATGTTTCACACAACAATGTATAAGGCCTCAACCTTTGTTCCTCCAAATTGGTGCAAGCATTCTATTTCATTATTTCAGCTAAGCATGAATCATTTTTAGATGCATGTCAGTGCTCATCGTTTTTGGGCATATAAAACAAACCTATGGCTGCTGCATATTCCTTCTTGCTACATAATCAGTAAAAATGATAATAGTAAACAAATAGTACTCCCTAAAACAATTTCTCTTTAAATGATTTATTCTTATTCTTAAATTCCACCTTTCGCCTTTTTCTAAATTCTTATTCTCTAAACATCTTGCAGCTTGCAATTTGCAACCCACAAAAGGTTTTCAAATTTGCCTTTTCAGTTTGTTTTCCCAATCTGTGCAGTTTATTGGAAAATCTACTGATAAGCTGATTAAAAATAATCTGTCGATAAGCCAGGCGCGGTGGCTACTAAAAATTTTTTTTTTTTTTGGAAAAGTCAGACCATAGCCAAAAAATCGCCACCGCAACTAGACAGATGCAGTATGAAAACGTTATTTTCAGTGTTTTGAAAACGCATAAGCTGTCAAAACGCAGTTTACCCAAACAGGTCAGGTGTGTTTTCAAAATGTCACCGCACCAAATAAGTTTCGGCATGAATTGCAATTGCAAATTGCAAAATGTAATTCTAAATTTATTTGATAAGAAAATCACATGATGGAATTTATGCTATCATAAAAAATATTTTAAACATTTTCAAATAAATAGTCAGGTGAATCATTTTTAAATTTGAAAATCAAATTATATCATTTATGATTTCTTAATTACTGATCAATAAATTTTAAATGAGCTAAATTTATAAAAGGTCTTGAAATATATATGCATTTTGCAATTTCGTATTTTCAAAACCTGGTAAGAATGTCTGAATGTATTTCTTATATTTATAGTTTTTAACAGTTTATTCAGAATATTAAAAAAAACATTTTTTTTTTACTTCTTAAAGAATCTAATTGTTATTTATGTAGAAGGATTATAAAAGTTATTTTCAGAATCTATTAATGGTTGCATTTTATCTTTATTTTTATAAATTTTTTTTAAATATATTAATAATTATGAGGTAGATATAAAGATTGATATTTATGTTTTTACTTGTGCCCACACATACGGAGGTGTAAACAAGTTGAGTCGAGGGCAAATCAAGCTGAAAATGTCTCGTATGTAACTTTAGCTTGAGCTTTACTTGAGCTTTAGATTGTGAGCTCGAACATGGCTCATGCTTTACTTTTGTGTACTCGAGCTCAACTGGGAAGCTTAAGCTTGGGTGCAAGAGTAAGACCAAGAAATTTATCATGTGGCTACGAGAGTGGGACGACTACATTGCTGGATCGAGAGGATTGCAGAGCTACAGGTTGAGCCTTCAACTATTGCAGTGATCTGTGGCAATATAATCATAAGAACATCAATTATTATGGCTCATAATATCAAAGAGAAATAAAGACAACATGATTTTAACATGTTTCTTCAATCAGGTTGGGCTGTGAAACATCTTAAGTTACTAGATTGAGAGGACAATAGGGCCGCATGCTGAGTCTGCGATTGAGGCTATTGCGGTCTGCAACAACTAGATGAGAGCAAGGCTGCTGCATCCAAAGGCTAGCCTACTGGTAGAGAACAAGATGGGGTAACAAGAGATGAACAAGCAAAAATGAAATATGTCCCATCATGATGCCTCTACCTTATGAACGATCAGGATTCAGCCACACAAGTGTCTCACGATCTAACTCTCATTTCAACTATTTTCAAATAAATTAATTAAACCGCTCCTTGAGTCGATGAGTAGAAACACACCTAAGTCGAGCTAAAACTTGTATATCATACAAGCTTGGTTATAAGCTCGAACTCGAACTCCTGGCTTAATAAGCTTAACTTGTGATCTCATTGTCCACTTTAGTTCGACTTATCTTGCGAGCCGGATGGGCTCAAGTACACCCCTTTCACAAACACACTAGTACAAACTTTGAGCTGATGTGCCAAGCTTCTAGTTAATCTTAGTCTCATAAAAGATAGATTAACAATTATCTTAACTACCATCACAACAAATTTTAACATCACCAAAAAAACAAAAAGGGTATATTTGTAAAGCAAAGTTTACAGGAGGGTCAGCATGTAAAAAACTTCAAATTCCGCAACAAAACATTCCATAAAAACTGGTGGAGTGAGAAAGTAGGAGCTTTTGCTAGATTACCGCGCAGGGAAAAGAAGAGAAAAAAAGAACAGCTATTAGAGCAAGGAGGAGCATCTCTGGCCTCGTAAACCAACCGCAAAGGCTTCTCCTTTCTTCGATTACTCTCCCTCTCTAACATTTCTCATCTCTCCTGCTTGATCTGAGAGTGCGCGCTTCATGTCCGCTGAAATTCGTCACATAGCTTGATGGCGCCTGCGCTCGAGCACGACTACATACGCCTGTCGGAGGTCTCCGATAAGCTTGCAAGTAGTGAAGTGGAAAATCTACGTGAGACAGAGCTCCGGCTAGGGCTTCCGGGCTCCTTGTCGCCGGAAAGGAAGGAGAAAGTGGGACTTACACTTGGGTTACAGATACCGAAGGGTTTTGCAGCTGGAGCAAAGAGGGGTTTTTATGATGCTATTGACGAGAACAGTAAGTGGATTTTCTCTGGGATTGGTGGATCTGAAGGGGAAATGGAGAAAGGTGGTGCCTTGTTCTCGCCGAGGGGCAACGGTGGCGGCGGCGGCGGCGGAGGTGGAGGAGGTCTGGTCGGCGGCGGTGGGAAGGAGGTCGCCGGAAAAGCTGTGAGTGGACAGGACAAGAAGGCGCAGGGGATGCCTGCTACAAAGTAAGTCTGCTGGTTTGTAGTATTTTGTGTCGAATAGCGGAAAATGGATTTTTGGGAATTCTGTGGCGATCTTCGTTTGGTGAATCTTGTTAGGGTTTTCGGCAGTTTTGTTAGTAATCCGTTGGAAAATGTGGTGTTTGCTGAAGGAAAATTGATGAGTTATTCATATTTTTAACACTTCTTTTTTAGTTTTGAAGATGTCTTTTGAAACTTTTAAATTATTGCTTTTGCAAAAAAAAAAAAAGAGAATATTCTTGTTTTGTAATACTAATTTTAGGGGAATTTAGTTCATTTTTACCTTTTTTTCTCTATAAAACTTCATTCTTAGAAAATTTTCCTGTTTAAAGTTTCATTTAATTTTAGGGAGAAATTACATTTGCTATTAGCCACTAAAGCAAATTGATGAATCTTATAGGAGCTCCATTTCTCTGTTTTTTTTTTTTTTTCTTTTTTTTTTTCATTTAATCTCTAAGGTGGAGGCTGCTGTTCTTTAAGCTCATGATCGATCCGATTGAGCTATTGTGAATTTTTTATTTTTCAGTCTAATAAATTTTTTAAGTTCCTACAGTTTTTTTTTTTTCCTCTGAACCTCTGAACTGATCTGTACTGTTTTGAATTCTTCAGTATGCCTTTGCTCTCAGCTTCTATGCTACAAAAACTTCATAATAAGAGAAAAATATGAATAATTAATTTACTCCCTTATTCCTGGAAGTAAAAATTATGGCTTGAGCTTGAAATCTTTAAAATAATTTTACTGAATGAGATGAAAGGGTTTAGGACTAAATTATGGTTTACAGGGCACAGGTTGTGGGTTGGCCGCCGATCCGAAGCTACCGCAAGAACACGATGTCTACAAATCCATCAAAGAACAAAGAAGACGGCGACGGGAAGCTTGGACTTGGTTGCCTCTATGTAAAGGTTAGTATGGATGGAGCCCCTTATCTGAGGAAGGTGGATCTCAGGACTTACTGCAGCTATAAGGAGCTCTCATCAGCACTGGAGAAGATGTTTAGTGGGTTCACCATCGGTTAGCTATATCTTCCCTTTATTTAATATTTTCATTTTAATTTGATTTTAAGTGGTATATTTTTACATTTAAATGAATAAAAAAATACTTAGTTTAGTTAATTGGACGGTTGAATATCATGATAAAAGTTTGAATCCCAACGGTTCTTTCTTTCTTTTGCTCAACTTTTATTTTTATTGGAATTTTCTTTGAAAAGGAGAGGAAGAAAAGAGATTTATACACATATATGTTTGGTTTTAGTTAACTCTTTCATAATTCATGTTAAAAGTATCATTTTGGCCTGATTTTTCAGAAATTTAAGGCCCCATTATATTGAATCATCAAAAAAATTTGTATTCATTATATGTTATGAACAATCATAGTTCTGGTCCATATTTCTGTCTCTAGTTTTTTTATACCATTCTCTATGTACCAACATAAGGCGATATTTAATTTTACTAAATCTGCGACTTGTGATTGACCCCACTCATTCATCTTATGTAATGCAAATTTTGTTTTATATATTGAAACCTTATAGGTCCACACATTAGTTGCACCTTTTGCTTCATTTATGACATATTGATTCGGTGAACCGACGGTTAGAGTTCTTCAAACTTTGATCCTCTATCACCAGTGTAAAACTCGAAAATTTTAAACTTAAGATTTATTTATTTTTCATAGTCTACCAAGCTGAACGCTTTATAAACTGATTTTTGCTATTATATAAATCATTGGTTGATTTTTTTTTTTTTCGTAAATACTATTTAATTCTTATATTTTTACATATCTAACATCTAAGCTTTCGTATTTACATGCATGCCACTAAAACTCTTAACATCAAATGAAAAATATCACAATCATTATCTTTGTGACTACATTCTCTTGCATAGGTTTATAACACTAAGATGTTATGTAAGTGTAAACATCAAATTTTGGGTATTAGATATGTAAATACATAAGAATTGTTTGGTTTGTATGTGAATTTCCCTCTTTTTTATTTGTCAATAACTTACTGTTGCTGTTGTGAGGAGTTTACTTCTCTTTAAATTGTTGGCGCGATTCAGGTCAGTGTAGAGATGGGCTGACTGAAAGCTGTTTGATGGATCTTCTTAATGGTTCTGAGTATGTGCTGACTTATGAAGACAAAGATGGAGATTGGATGCTTGTTGGTGATGTTCCATGGAAGTAAGTTTCCTCCTTTCAAATATGTAAATTTAATATCCTTCTGTAACTATATGGGGGAGCACAAATTTGTAATATTATCATTTGTCAATTCTGAAGTCCATTTTACTTGCTGCAAAAGGCCATTTCATTTTCATCTTGCCTTGAAAAATGATCTGTGTTAACTTACCGATATTCGAAGTTCAGAACTTGGATTTCGTCGAGTGAGATTCATTAAATTTTTTTTTTTAATTTCAGAATGTTCATTGATTCCTGCCGAAGGCTACGGATTATGAAGGGCTCCGATGCAATTGGCCTTGGTTTGGTTTACTAACTGTGAATGAACTCTGAATCAATCAGTATAAACATGTTTTTTTGGATGTTTATTGTTTTGATTAAAGTGTCAAAATTGTTTCCTAACTATTTACATTTGGTCATTTTAGTCCCAAAGATTATAAAATGTTAAATTCGTCACCAATATGTTTTAATGGGGGGCTAAAATACCCCTATTAAAAGAATATGAGGATATGAGGATTAAATATGGACATTTTTATAAACTCTAGGACTAACATCTCCTGCAAAAAATCAGGGGACCATTTTGACACTACCCGCAATGTTGATGAACCTCTCCTGAAATTGTGCCTGTGATCCACTTATCTTCTGTATTAACTAATCTCTTAAATGAAATTTAATCTCTTCTTACTGCATTATAATCTGAATGAACTTCTACTAACCTTTTCCATGATTCCAGTGATGTTCATTTCATCCAATACTGCTCAGCATATTGCCACTCTCCCAAATGAATTTTAGTATGTTTTGCATTCATAACAACAAAGCTAATACTTAATATTGATGAAATTCTGAAAACAAATTAATAAATTCTGTCTGTACTGCAGTTCTTGTTGTGTTCTTTATGGTAAAGGTGTCACCCATATTTATACTACCGCTGACCATTTTGTCTTGGCTTCTCTGATATCTCATTAATGTTGTTTCACTTTCTTAGATCTACCATCACTCTGTACTGTTCATTTCACAACATTTTGCTGCCGATTGCAGACTCTGTCATTAAGTTTTTATTTTTTTTTTCTTTTAATTCTTGCATGCTTAAATAATATCAAATGAACCTGGAAGTTCAGCTTCATCATTCTGCTGGACTGAAATCATTTCACTTTTCTCTCTTACAACATTATTATTGTGCTTCCAACAGTGCCTATAATGATTGTCCTCCTCCCTCTCTCTCTCTGTCTCTCTCTTATATAGCCTAAAACTTAGTATTTACAATACCACCCATACATGTCTGTCTTTCTTGGTGGCCAGAACCCAAACTAAACAATGAAAATATACATACATACCACTCAGTTCCTATATATTTATATTTCTAACACCTAAAGTTCAATTTTCTTACAAACACCACCTTAGCTTTGCATGCAAAGCTGCATTTCACTTTTTAAAATTTAAAATGGTGGTATTTTTGCTTCGTTTTTAAACATTTGAGTGATATAAATTTAAAAAGCAGAACTTAGATGTTATATATGTAAACGCCCCCATGCCCCAAGCTAAAAATAAATATAGATTATGCTTATTTTCATAAAGTTGACCCGTACACGCCTTTCTTTTTCGATTCTAAACTTACATGAAATCATTCTCCTTACAGCTCCGAAGGCGATGGAGAAGAACAAGAATCAGCACTAGGGCGGGGCGCGATGGATTCGATTAAAACCGAAAAAGCTAGCTCGAGTTTGGAGCTGTTTTATAACTATATGTTGTGGTTTGCTGTTTTACATAGACTGCTTGGACTTCCAGTTACCTTCCTGAGTCATTCTACTGTGATAAATTTTAAAGTCAGAATTGTGTCTTCAATATCTTTGTGTGCTTTTGCACCTTCTATTACTATTTCTGTAAATGGTGTTGGTTTGCAAATTTTGCTGCTTTCTTTGATCAAATTATTACATTTCTGCCTTTTTTTATTCTTTTTTTTTCAAGTTAAAAATTTTTTTTTTATCAGAACTGTATGTTTGACTTTGACTGGAAAGAACAGGCATCTCTTATTCCGGTCACCTGAAAAGCTTGTAGGGTAACAAAATTTCTAAGCTACAGTGCATCTTCTTCTCCATTGAAGGGATTCTTCCATCCAGGCTTTTATTTTTTCCTTCTTTTAGGACCTGAGCTGTTCTAGAGCCCCTAAAAAGACACCAGACAGCTTTTACTCCAAGAGCTCTGCTTGTGGGGGGGGACCTCCACTTTAAAAAACTTTATGATTTTGCATAAATTTTATATTTTTATGAGATATTATTATTCAGGTGGCAATAAAATATAATCATGAAAATTAATTTATGTTCCTCCTAATCAGGCTTTCTTCCAAGAAATGATTCTCCACTGCCTCTTATTTTCTTCTTTCTGTAATGATGTCTGCTTGTTGGGTGGGCTTGAGGACTCTTTTATAAATATTATATTTTTAAAGGTTTTTTTTTTTAATTATTTTTTTTGTACTTCACAAAATTTTGTCAAGGAATCTAATCTCTTATCTTTAGCTGGAAATTTTCCATTATTATATATACTTTTTGGAAGATTTACATACATAACCATTCAATGTCTATGTATTTATATAACTAAGACTTTTAACTTTAGTTTTTAAAACTTATATTTTTACATCTATGGCTTTGTTTAAAAATGTGTGTTTCAACTTGTAAGGTTAGTAAGAGTGGCTTTTTTATTGAGATGCGAAAGATTTGAGGGTTCTAAATGTGAAAAAAATAAAGTAGCTGTTCATATGTAAATACAAATGAGTTGTGTGGTATATATGTAAAATGCCCTATGAGCTTCTTGGTGATGTATCAATACTAGCTAATATGTTCGTGTGCTGGATTAAGATTCTTTAGTAAAGACAAAAAAGAGGATCTCTTTCATGTTGCATGATATCTCCTATTTATAGGAGTCAAATCTCCCTTTTTTTTTTTTTTTTTTTTTTGAGCAGGAAGCCTTACAATATTACAAATAAATGGTATTCGCACCTCAAAAATTCCCTAGTGGTGTTATTGAGTGGAGATCGATTTGAAGCACCACAACTAGTGATCTCGAGTGCCTAAAGCCAGGTGCATCTTTCCCCGGCACCAAGTTCGGGCGCTCCTGGGCCCAAGTTCGGGTGCTCTTGCGCCAAACACCCTGTTCGGACGCTTCTGCGCCCAGGTTCGAGTGCTTTTGCGCCGAAGTTCGGACGCTCCGCTCATGTCTTGGATGCTCTAGGCACCTCTTTCCCGATAGATTGACGCTCCAGCTCCCACTTCAGAGCGCTCCTGCACTAGGTGCGATTAGTTTTGATTTCGATTTAAGGAGGAATTTAATAGTTCTAGTGCATGAGGTCTTCAACAAGCGTAGGAGAGGAGGATTTCATGTGAGTTCTTGTCAGATCGAGAGAAAGGATTTGGAGTGAAGTGTTGTAAGTTTCTTTAATTTTAGAGAGAAAATTTGAACTTGTTCTATGCAAACCTCCTAAATGCTTAGTAAAATTTTCCCGGTAGTGTTGCTCCATGATTTTTTCTAGTTCTCAGGTTTTTTTCACGTTAAGTCCTTACATGTTTTTCTGGATTGTCTTTGTTGTGCTTCTGTTTGTAATTTTGTTCTAATTTTCTCAAATATTTGTGATTCTATTCTGTGGTGTGGTTTAGATTTAAATTGAATCAAAGCTTCGACAAAGTATAAAGGGGGACGTTCAATCCCAGCTAAGTGGTATCAATGCGGGGTTCTATTTGAGTGGGAGTAAGTTCAAAGTGGAGAAGTTCAATGAGACAAACTTCACATTTTAGAGGATACAAGTAGAGGTTTTGTTGTATCATAAAAAGTTGTATTTGCCACAACATGGAATCACAAAGAAGCTATAACTATAGACGAATGTGAAGTGTTGAATCAGACAACACTAGGTTTGATTTGGTTGTCACTTTTATCATATATTGAGTTCAACATTTTAAGTGAGAAAATCACGGTGGATCTCATGGTTGCACTAACCAAGATGGTAAGAAAAACAATATGCTTTAAAAAATTTAATTGACTACAAGGTTACAAAGATTTATAAGTATTAATTAAGAAAATGTAATAAAATTTATAAAATTAGATTTAAATGATGTTTTAAATCTTACCCCAATCCTTAATATTTTATGGCTAAGTGATTAGGGTTGTCAAAAAGACTCTTTGTTTGTGAAAGGCTCGTGTTCGACTCGCTAAGCAAAAGAGCCCAACACGAACACGCTTTTTGAGCTTGAAATATAAACTAGCCGAACACGAGCTGAGCCTGGGTTCACTCGTGTTCGGCTTGTTTACACCGTTATATTCAACATGAAGATGGTGGAAAATAATTTAGTGACAAAACATATGAATAATTTAATATTGTAACGAGCCAGCTGTGCTATGTGGGATCAAATTTGATGATGCGGTCAGAGCACTGATGATATTTTTTCATTATCATGATAGTTTGGTCACGACAACGAGTAATTCTTCAGAAAATTTGAAATTGAACTTTGAGGATTTCATGGGTTTGACGCTAAATGAAGAAGTTCATGTAAAAGTGAAAAATGGTGAATCTTCAGGTTTTGTGTTGCATGCTTATAATAGGGGAAGAATTCTAGACAGGAATACGTGTAGAGACATATCAAAGCCAAGAAGAGTTGCGTGTCGTTTGGGTATAAACTTGTAGGTTACGATGAACATTTGGGAAGCTCCAAATTGGGGATTCCGATGCCAACAACTCCCCACCTCTGCACGAGTAAGTCGGTCCAAACCCCGATTTTCACAGGAAATGTCCAAGTGAGAATTTCTTGGATCGAAAAGCTGTCAAAGACTACATATGACTGAAATATGATCCCATAACTTCAGAAATGAACACTTTTATTAGTCGTTCACCAAGGGATTTGTTATTGATGATCGCCTTAAGCCACAACGCGGGTAGGTCGTTGCAAACTATAATTTTCACGCAACGCGCGTAAGAGGACTCCATGACTTACCTTGGCCATGAATTGCTCCAAATAGACGTGCGATCACTTCTAAATGCTAGAATGGACAATGAATATGTCATGTGTCCTAAATGAGTCCTTCCGGTGGTGGGTTATCCCAGGTAAAGCTAAATCATTGCCAACCTTAGCTTTGTGCCTCGAACATGTGCTAGAGAGTTTCATATGGGTGTCTCAACCTACGGGATACTACGGAAAAATCGTAAGTTATCTCAAATCATGTAGGAGGACACCCTACACCTGATATCAAAAAGTGATGCCAACAATATTCAACTGTGAACCAGTCATTCAACCAGTTTAGTCTAAGCTTAAAACTATTTCTGTATAAAAATAGAATTGAACCGGTCAGAATCAGAGTTGCACCGACAAACCGCTCAGCTCATCAAAGTCCATGAATAGGAAATAACATAGGCCACCAACATCCCTATTTTTTTCGAGAGAAATATTTTACAAGCGGTTCATCTGCTGTTATGGCCAAGAGAAGCCCTCGCTGAAGCAGCCTCTCATGCAAAACCTCTTCCCCAAACTTAACCAATCTACAGCATTCACCTTGACATGGATCCGATGCATGGAGCAAGTCCTTTAACTCCTCATGGAGTTCCTTTATCTCCTTCTATCATTGCATCCCATCCACCCAATCAAACGAGTCCTCCAAAGTGGCGGACCAAAAATCGAGGGAACATCCTACATCCATCAGTCTCCTCTATGTGGGCGATAAGAGGGTTGCTTAGGCAGTCAACCAAACTTGCCTCACTCCTAGTTGGCGTTGGGGCTGCCTCAACTGGTCAGAGAGTTGATCAGTCCATGACAGCATCCTCTAAAGGCGAGCCTTCAACCTGCATCGCCTTGGCTCCACCAAAAGGCACCATAAGTAGTGATAAATAAAATTTTAACACATCGCTCTCACCAAGTGGTGGCAGAGCACTAGCATTCTCATGCCCCTGGTCACAAATAGAGCATCAACAGCTTCATGTGCCTCGGACGGTGGAATGTCACCGCTTCATAAGCAAGTTGTTCAACTTTTGATGACAAATTTAGGCCCCTTCTCATTTTATAATTTTTTTAAAACTTTTATCGTTTTTTATTGTCTTAATTCTGGTTTAAATTAGAGTAATTTTAGTGGGTGGGAGGGTGGGAGGGAGAATTGTTTCTAATCAAAATCAAGAAAATCAGACCACAATTATATATATATATA